GCTGCGCCACTCCCCCAGTCTGCAGGACGAGGCCATGTTTGCGTCGAAGAAACCTCACAATCGAGCCTAGGCCCTGGGGCATCATGCCTACCTTTGAATGGGCAACCTTGCTGATGTTCAGTCAAGCGTGCTGCTGTGCTACACCGCTACACCACTGAAGCTCCGACAGCTGTCAGGTAGATGCCAACTTTGCGAAGCTTCTACAGCTGGATCCGGAGTGCTTGCATCCCTATGAATCTTTGAACACTTAGTAAGTCGTTTCTTTCCGCGTCCTACGGCTCTGCATTAATTACTCATGCTGTTTTGTCCGCATCTCAGGAAGGATGCGACGAGAATGACTGTACTGTGAAGAGGCTTGGTGATATATTGTACCACTCACCATTCCTCCAGTATTCCGTTTCGATGAAACGTTGTGTTTTGGGTGTTGGTACTGGTATCAATATTCAGGAAGTCATGCTGCCAGTAGTTGTTGGCAGTTTTTTTCATATTTGTGCATGTAGTGTTCTAGCCGTGGAAACAAGTCGCTGCTGTTCCTGTTTCTGAAGAGTAGCATGATGCAAAGCATTCTTGGACTGCCTGGTTTCCATGGCACTTGATGCTTTAACGACAGGGGTATTAGTCAGCTTTGAAAACCGCAGTGCTAACAAGCACAGTCTGCGATGTTTGCAGCCTGCAATACGCAGAAGTAGTGTTTAGCGTCAAAGGCAATCAGTGGCATCAGTAATAAGCAGTATTACTTGCAGTTGTGGGGGCGAGCTGGCTTTCATTTTCGAGAGTTTATGTGGCAATCCTGATACGGGACTCTCAATCCGCAACGACGATGGTCACAGTTTCCGGAAGGGTGCAAGATGGTGCTCTCGAAAGGTTTCACAGCCATCATGACCAAATGGGTAACTTTGGACAAGTGTCAGAATCCCTGTCCTCATCGCTTCATTGTACCAGGGTGCCACGCCCTCTTCCGTGTAGGCGTGGGTTGTGCCGTGGGGGGTGTCGGAGGTATGCTATTGGTCCTCCGGCGGCGCCGCCTGCTCCGGAAGAAGAAGAAGAAGAGAGCGACTTGGCAAGTACCTACGGGTCCCAGGGCTGCTACACTGGCTGCTACGGATGCAGATGACAAATAGGCAGTTCCGAGCGTGAGGCGAGGAGGAGAGCGAAGAGGAGGAGGAGGACGATGCAGAAGCAGAGGATCGCGTCTCGGTTCTTGCTTTGCTCACACATTTGGTACCTGTTCCGGTACAACGATACTCACCCCTTCATAAAGGCAGTTGAAGCCGGTTCTTTTCGAATGGCTCAAGCTGGTTCGCCATAGGAAGCATGCAGTCTTATAGTCTTGTCTAGCTACGATACCAAAAGGGCCAGGCTTGATGTGTCTAGACAAGATTCACCAAGCAGCCAGTCTAGGAATTCTGACCGTTCACGTGTGTTGCATTCGCGAAAGCCATGGACACGTGGCAGAATTACCATCTATGGCAGAGCCTAGGCGAGGCCCTCAGCTCACGAGCTAGGTGACTGCGGATGCTCTCATGCTTCTTTTCAGGCCACACTTCAGTTTACCTTGAGTGGGGCCTTGCATTGCTCATCATGGCTGCCGTCCCTTGGATCAAACTCGAAGATCCTTGCACTGGGAGTCTGGATGAGTCTGGGAGTGGGAGTTCCTGCTCAGGTGGTCAGCGCCTGGCGCGGGGCCTGGCTGGCGCTGGACGCGCAGCTGTGGCCAGAGAGGTGTGCAGCGCATACTGTAGCTCGACTCTGGTGGTTGCTCACAAAAAACGCGGAGAGGCCTGCGGCGAGCGCGGCCTTGGGCCTCGGCTGGGGCATGGTGCTTTTCGCAGTCTTAGGTGACACGGCTGCAGATCTCGCTTGGAGCTCCCTCTTCGTCCCCCGTCCCCCCGTAGCAGGCTTTGCACAGCCGTGGCTGGCGGCTTTATGCTCAAGGATGAGGCACAGGCGATTCGCATGGCTGGCGGATGCCAGCTTCAGCTCCTAGGCAGAACAAGGCCCTGAGTGCTCCGGTGATGCGAGATTAGTGAAGATGTGTGAAGGTTATGCTGGTTTGTGGTGCTGCGTTCTTGTCTGGCGCGGCGTCTGGCAGCTGTGGGACTGTGCTCTGGGGCCACTTGGAAGCGCCCGGAGACCTTCGGCATGTTTGAGTCTCAGCCCATAGCTGTCCAGGTACTGCCTGACCCCGGGGGCAACAGACATGTCAGTGCCTCGGTCAGAGCCATGGAGCGTTCTCCGTGCATCACTGCTGGGCTGCAGGACCTTGGCAGCTGGTGCCTGGTTCAGCCACGGCGTCACCTGGCAACTAACCGAATGTCAGCGGAGTGCACCAGAAGGCAGCCCCTGGGAGTCTGGACGTGTTCGGCGGATGCCAAGGTTGGTGTCTTGATCCTGATCTGTGTTGGTGGCATACGAAGCCTGAACGCGCCCCCGATGTTGATCCTCTCAGAGCCTCGATCCGAAAGTTTCAGAGTCAGACACCCAGACCCAGCCCTTTCGCCTCCGTTCCCACAGATTCTCCACCTCGCATCTCGGAGCCGAGGACACCTTGCCGCCGCTCTTCGGTGCCCGTGCAACTGTCGGGCTTCGTGGCTTTGCTCCCGGTCGGCGTCTCTCCGTCGTCCCGGTGATGCAAAATCCCAGGGAGTGGCATCAGGCTCATGAGCTGTGAAGCACAGAAGTGTTGTGGAGTCTTCTGACGTTCTCAAGCACTTCTCTTCCTTGGATTCCTTGGTTTGCCTCTCATTGTGCCCTTTCCCAGGCCGTCGGACTGCCTTATGACTCGCATGAGGCTGTGGAGGTGAACTGTGGGACAAACTGCATGTCGCCTTCCGCTCAGCCGGTTTGCTACGGTGACCAGTCCCCAGGAATGTCTAATTTGCGCATGTAAGCGGCACGTCTGGCGCAAAAGATTTCGGCAAGATGCTTGAGCCAGCTTATTATTGTTTCCTGCTTTCGGCCTGACCTTGGCTGGTTTGTCGTCTCAGATGCTGCAGCCATGGGTACTGGCAGTTTCCTCCAAAAGTGGAGATGGAGAGTCACAGGGCACCTTCTTCGAAGGGAGTGCGTGTCTGTCCTAATATCCTCTCTACACATGCATCCGGATGGGCTAAGGACTGCCCTCGTCCCAAGAGCCAGAGATGTGAACAAAGAGTGAGTAGAGTAATCGGACTCAACACGGCTCTGTTTTAACCGGGGCGTCTGTCAAATGGTATCTGTTCTCCGTTCTCCGAGAAGCTGCACGTCCACTCGGCATATCTCGGTCTTACTTGGCTCCCCATCAGTTTGCAACATTTGTACAGGCGGCTTCCAATGACCAGTCGCCAAAGGCGATTGCTGAAGCGTTTGGAAGCTTCACCAGCAGAGTGACGTTTGCCAGCATAATGGGTGGTCAATACAGTATAGCAACATGATACTCTTGCGGACGCACTGCGCGTGTGCCGGGCTACCACTGGCTGACCTGTCCGCTTCGTGGTGAAAGATGCCTGCGTGACTTGCTTGGCCCCTGCAGTTTCAGTACATCTCAGCACATATCACATGGTAAGAAGGCACGGTGCAAGTGGCCTCCGTCCCGGCCAGGCCATGAGGGAACGGCTCGCAGCGCTGCTTGCCGAAGTGGAGAACTCTGCAGGCCCCGGAGTCTCAGCGGTTCGTCGGAGCGCGGACATGGCACACCCGCGGCACACCCGCGGCCCCTGTGCAGAGGCGACGGCCGCAAGAAGCTGTCGCCCGAGGAGATCGAGCGAAAGAGGAAGGAAGCCGAAGAACTAGGCCCACGAGATCCCGTGAAGATGCACGTATGTACTCTAGCCGCTAGCCTAGCAGGCTAACAGGTTTAACATCATAGCCGCCGAGGTGACAAGTGCAAGATTGTGTCCAAGAAGGCGGGGGCGGAAGCAACTCGCAACCGCGATCAGCGCCTCTGCAGTCCACAACTGAGGAGCGGAGCGAGCAGAACAAGTCCAGAAAGGCTCGGCAGGGCTTGAAAGGAAGAGCCCGGCGCCCGCTGAAGAAACCGCCCGTTTCCAAGGAGAAGGCTGGCCAGCGGCAAGCCAAGACGGGGTCCAAGAGCCGGAAATTCGAGGGCGAGGGCGCCACTTCCAAGGACCGGTGCTTCGCCCCGAAAGCGCGTCCGAGCTTTTGAAAAAACCCCTACCCCCTTCCCAAGAACACAGGAGGAGAAGAAGAAAAAGAACACGGAGAATGTAAAAAAACGAGCTTTGGCTGCAGATCTCAGTGCACTTTACAGCAGGCAAGCGCGAGTTGGCAGGTTTCGGGATTTCCTAGTGGGCCGATCACCGCCAAAGTGATCCACCCATCCGAAGACTGATCAGGACGAGCACGGTCGGAAAGACCGGATTCCCTGCTTTTGCATCTGCAGAGATCTAAGACTGCTCCAAGTTACTGTGCCTGCTCATCCTGGTCAGCCTAGTCCTTCAAGAGAGTAGTTGTTGTATGTTGTTGTCGCCGGATGGAAACAACCGCAAACAGACGGATCTGGCCTTAAGCCTTAAGACCGCGGCAGAAGCCCGCAGGCTGTGTGTACAGAGCTCTAGCCTCGTGATCGTGGCGCCGCAAGCGACTTGTGATGCAGTGATCTTTTACACTTAGTACTAGCTAACATTGAAGCAAACACCAAGCCGCGCCCCAAGTCTTTAACACCGCGGCCCCGAGCTGCCGCCTTGGTGTGCGTCTGGCTCTCCTAAGTCCAGAGCCGCACAACCCGGTGTGGCAATGTCTCGCGTAACGGCCAGAAAGAAGTTGTGCCAGCGTCGCGAAATCTCGCGCCATGTGTCGGCTTTGCAACTCGGAAGATGCCGATGCCTCCCGCGCCACATGCAGCTGCAGTTAGGGAGAGAGGATTGGGGCTAGGAACCCAAGCCCTTAATTCAAGCAGCTTGATCAAGCACGTGTCCCACTCGTTTCCCACTTGGGCATGCAGAAACCTTCACGTTTCCAATTCAGCCGCACCAAAGGCCCCCTGATACCCCACTCAGCGAATGGCGGCGGCCTTCTTCGACAGGTACGGTACGTGGGGCATAGTGCGGTTGAGGTGATGCATGTTTTTAAAAATGCAAGCGCAGGCTACCTGCCGGCTTGACCGCGGCAGAGGACTCCGGCAGATTCGAGTTGTTCCCGAACCATCGACCTTGGCCAAAATGCCATGCAGAGGAAGAGCTCCGGGATCATCTTGTTCGAGCTTCACGAATAGCAACGAAGCTGCAGAGAGCTTGATGTCAGGGAGGGAGAGGCAGGGAGAGCTTTGAGAGGCAGCCGAACTGTTGCCGCCATGGCCTCAGAGCTGAGCCAAAGGGAAAGGGAGCTTGGGCGGTTCTTGAAGAGCCCCCTAGGCCTGGCAATGTGGTCTCGCTTCAGGAATGGGTGGAGTGGCCAGTGGCTCAGATGCAACCGTGCTGAACCTTTTGATGCGGGCACCGACTGAGTCGGATGCCTGGAGAAGTGGATCTTGCCACAGACGCTGCTGGGCTTGCAGGGAACTCAGATCTCCGCAATATTCCGCAACTGTCGTCCTCGGCTCTCCTTTTGGCTCGTCTTTTCTTGCAGGTCATCCTGCGACCTGCTCGGTCCCAGAAGGTGCCTCTTTCAGGCCCTGGCTCCGCCGTCCGTCCCGTCCGTCCCGTCACTGACAGGAAGACCACAGCAGAAAGCGGCCGGACGACTTCTTCAAGAGCCTCCCGCAGGATTCTTTTGAAAGGGTTAGGGCACTTGCCGAACCACAGCCCGACGTGCAGCTACTGTAGGACAGCTTTACTCCAGAGGAGGAGAGGCAGAGCTCTCAGAACTGCACCCGCGACTTTCCCGATGTCTTGGTTCCTTAGGCTTCGGTTTGCCATCTTGGACTTTCTGGCAGGGTGGACCGCAAAGGACAGTTCAGAAGCCCCAAGTTGGAAGCCAGGGAGCATGTCTTGAGCAGGACCTGGCCACGATGGAACATTTGCAGACCAATCCACACGTTCTCGAGGCGGGGCGAATGCAGCGTTTGGCCGATTGCATGTGCTGCATGATCGGCGGCGGCTGCTCAGACAAACCCTTGTTTGCCTTCGAGCTTTTCCACGCCTGGCTCTGACAGGCACAGCGCTACGTGCCCAGATCTGAGTGTGCCTTGTGATGCTACACTGACCGGATCATGCTTGAACAGCTGTAGGTTGAATGGCGCAGCCGGAGACTTGGGCCAGTGTCCCTTCAGTTTCTATTCAACGGATTAGGGATTAGGTCCTTGCTTTTTCGTTGTCCAAGCAGAAGCGGACCGACCGCTCAGGGCGTGCGCCTGAAGGACTGGATCGAGAGACGGATAGGAGGTGAGCTGCCAGGAGCTCAGACAGACAAAGGGTTTTGGAGTTTCCTGTGCATCTCTGTCGCTGTGATCTGGAGCCGCCGTGTTACCAAGGACACTGCAGCCGGGTCGTGGGGGCTCTCTGGTTGCTGCCTCATTCTGATATGCGATTGGCTGCTCTCACCGAAAGTATCACTTTGGCCCAGGTCATCAACTTGGCCCCCGCTGGTCGACCTGCGGTCGCTGAGAGGGCGCGGCTGGGTGTCTCCTTTGCCGGTTGCCGGGCCGGGCTTTCGCTTCGACTAGAGACAGAAGCAGGTCGAGCTGCTAAGGCGAGGATTCCCTTTGCCGTCGTGCCCCGAGATGCCTTCGAGGCTGCCCTTCAAGGCATGCGACGCTGTCGGCTGAGGCCTGCAGGGTTGCCTCTGCCGCATCCTCCGCATCCTCCGCATCCGGCACCCATGCCCATGATGCCACCTGGGTGCTGGACTCGGGCGGCAACAGCTGTGCAGGGCATAGACTAAGACTACTTAGACCAATCTTCAGCTGAGGATGCCACCCATGCCGCCTGCATGGCCAGCCCAGAAGCCTGCGAAGCCAGCGGAGCCCGGGGAGGGAGAAGAAGGGCATCACGCGATTTTTCGAAGAGCTGTCACCTTCTGGAGCGCCTCGCGGGTGAACAGGAGCGTGAAAGGCCGAAGGCTCGAAAAGACGAGGCGACTTGCGAAATCTGGCGAACATAGATTTTAGATTTCCTTGCTGCGTGCATTCGCGAGTGGGTATTAGTGTGGATTCGGGCCCGTTCTCGGGTTCACTGCTCTGCAGGGCGTGCAGGGCGCGCAGGGCGCGCAGGGCGGCAAGAAGAACTTCTTCGAAAGCTTGCCCGCAGACGTTGGGCGCTTGGGGCCGAGAGTCTCGAGCTTTTTCTGTCCCTCTTACTTGTCGGTAAGGAGCTTCTTCCCAAGGAGCTGGAGCTTCGTCAGGTCATCTGCCTGCAACGCCTCGTGGGCTCACTCTGCTCAGCTCTGCTCAGCTGCTCTGCTCAGCTGCTGTTCGACCACCTGGACTGCTTCATCCAGAACGGAGGCGCTGGCGACGGGCCCGCTCCTCGAGCTTGCGAAAGAAAAAAGAGCAGAGCCGCAGAGGGCAGCGAGCTGAAGGCCGATGTTGTCCTCCATCGCGCAGGGCAAGGCGGTCAGTGCTTCTTCTGCGTCCAAAGCCAGACTGTTGCGTTACTGTACGGGGTCCATGGCGCAATCCCGAAAACTTCTTTTGACACTTCTTTTTCTTGGCTTGGATGCCAGGTCTGTCAGAAGCTCAAAACGGAGCTCTTGAAAAGAGAGGCCTGCAAGTGGGTGGCATCGGACCCTGCACCGATGTCTATGTGGAGGTCTCACTCCGCGACTGGATTGATAGGCGGATTGGCACTGCCCCCACCTTTTGTGCGGCTGTCTATGTGGCAGACTCTGCCCTCGCAGATGCACGATAAGGCGGCGAGATCGCCACAAAGGTCGCCTCAAATGGGCAGGCAGGCAACGCAATGACTGCCATGACTATCTTGCAATAATGAGGCCATCACGCCGTGACCTTCAACCTACTGCTCTCATCCCTGCGACTCGTGATTTGTCAGTTGAAGAGTTGAAGGTCATTATCCATTATCGCAATGAGAACGACCAAGGAGATGCTCAGGAGGGGAACCAGGGGAGCTGAAGGGATGCCCTGCAACCTACTGAAGACAGTCTGAACATGTCAGCGTCCCGAGTCCAGACGGCTTTTTGCTGGTGCCGGCACATGTAGAACTTGAGTTGTAGAGGGCAATTTCACTCCAAAATAGGAGGCCTCAGGAGCACTCGAGATGCGTGAAGATGCATGCCCTAGCCAACGCCGGGGATGTCCGGATGAGAAAACTTGGCAAGATGCACTAACTGTATTGCAGATGACCAGCCCGGACAGGAGCCTGAAATAGAAGAGCCCATGGAGGCAGGTTTCTTTCGTGCCTGTTCCCTGCGGCGGTGATGCGCTGACTCTTTCCACACACTCATTGTCCTAACTGTCCAAACTATTCGCTTGCTTGGCATTGGTCTGCGCGCTTGTCTTGAGCAGGGAACGGAGATCAGCGGAGACGCTCAGGTGCGAAACCATGCGAACACAACTTGTGCTTGCTGCCCGCCTCCCCGACTGTGCACATCGCAGGCCTTTTTCGACGACCTGCCTCCTGACGGCTTCTTGCCGGAGGAGGAGGCTTTGAGAGAGGCAGGGATTGTCAGAGCGACAGTTTGCTTTTGGTTTTTTTTAAGCAGTGGGAGGCCATCCTGAATTTTTTGGATAGCTCGGGCCCAGATGCGCCCCCGACACTCAGAGAGGCCCAGCAGGTCCCGGAGGCTGGCAAGCGCAGTGCAGCGCAGTGCGGCCGAGAGCTGTGCCAGTGATGCGGCGATTGCCATAAGGTTTCGGAATGTTTCGGCTCACAGTTTTGGCTTCCGCCTTTCCAAAACAAACAACGTGACGACTCCCGGCTGCAGGAGGTTCAGGGTCAGAGAACGTGGGTCGGCACACGACCTACCACCTAGGCAATGCGGCTACTGGCCGGAGTGCAGCTTCTGGCAAGCCTGTGGCTTCTGCAGCCGGCATTGTCGCAACTCGATCCAATAATCAGCAAAGCAGCGTCGGAAGCTTTCAACATCCGAGGCAACAAGTTGGGCAGATCAAAGGGCGCATCAGCATCCCCCATAAGTACCAGGCTGCCTTGCGAATCCTTGCGAGAGGAGCGGACCCTGGGCTGTTGGGGTCCTGGCCAGCCAGGAAGTAATCAGTGCGGCCAGTGGTGCGGGCCTAGCAGCCGCCCGGGTCATCCTGGATGGAGGCTTCCCTGTTCTTCGGAATCCTAGAGTAACCGTACAGAGACTCAGACATTTTGTCAATTCGCTTAAGCTTGGAAGCCTGTCACGCTTGTTCACGGTGCTAGCATGTGCTAGCTGCGAGTGGAAAGTTCGATACCGACAGAACCATGGCCCATGATCGTCAAGTTGTGTAATCGCTGCTCTTAGTCAAGGCAGGATCACTGGGCCGTGTTGTCTGAAATCCGGGATCCGTGACTGCAGGTCTCCTGTCGACCTTGCCTGCTTCAGACGGGCGCTTCGGCAGATTTCAGGGGAAAACCACAAGTTGCTTGTGAAAGGCGTTTGCACCCCGACAGGCACTTTGCCCTCAACGGCGTAGCTGTGGGGCCACATATTTTGCAGGCTCGGCGAATCCCCTGAGCCACTGCGCAATGCCAGAACGCTGCTTTCTGTGCGTGCCACCGTGGCGCAACAGGTTGTTCATCCGCTGCTGAGCTTCGACCCAGTCACAGCGGAGGGTTCGGCAGGACTCAAAATGAGCACCTCGTCCAAGACTTGGAGCCTGGACTCATGAAGGCCCTAAAACTCTAAAAACCCATGGCCCAAGTCGACAACAAAGGTGCTTACATTGCAGACATGGAGCACGGCAAGGGGGCTTCTCGGCCGAACGCAGAAGTGGCCTTGTGCATCTAGCTATCTTCCAGCTTCATGCATTTCCCTGTATCAGTTTCAGAACTAGAGCGCCTGAAGTGGGCAGTTCCACAACCCGTCGGAGGTTAAGCTCAAATATCCCTTGGGCTTGGCACCTTCGGGCGCCTTCAGCTACCTCGAGAAGCGGGAGGACCGACAGCAAATCTCCGTGAAGTCCTGAAAGTTGGCGCCGGGCTCGGTTGATACAGCCTTGTGGAAGGAATTCAACGTGCTCTCCGTCTTCAAGAGCCCATATGCACTTTTCGGCAACTCGGCAATGAAAGACTTCGTGACCGGACTTATTGTAAGCGTGATGCACAGCTGCGCAGCATCCGCAATGCCTTCAGTGATTGCTGCTCATCCCTAGCACCCGTGCAGACCATCGAGGTCTCGTCAGCATGGGTGCGATGTTGTTCCTCCCGAGCCTTAGCTGCAGAAGCTGCAGATCCACAACGTGTCGCGAAGACTTGGCCTGGATGTGAATGGCCTTGGAACTGAGGAAGCTCCAGTCCATGGTGGAAGAGGAGAAGGACACGTGTTAGACGAGCTTCTCGTACCGGCGGACACTGTGCATGATGGCATATCCAGGAGAGACAGCAGCAAGAGCTGCAACAAGGGACAACGGAGAAAAAGTACAGAGCTCAGAATCTCACGACAGACAGGGACTGAATGTTCCGGCGATGTGTTGCAGAGTCCGACGGCTGGCAAGGAAAGTCGAAGGTTGATCGAGAGATCGCAGCATTCCGGAGCAGTGCGTCGCATGAGCGGCCTCCTCTGATCTGGCGTGTGCTGCGTTACCCCTTACCGATGCACTCTTCAGCCTAAGCCTAGACTGCAACGCAGCATGCTTGGTTTTCTCACCAGGGCCTGCTCGCAGTAGTCACGCGGATGGCAGAAATTCTGAGCTTGCGGCTGCAAGCCAATGAAATTCAGGATGATCTGCTAGCATTCCTGAAGCCGGGCAAAGCAGCACACATGAAGCCCAGCCTTCGAGGCACCTCAGACAAGCTGCGGCCTGGTGCAGGGATGAGTCACCTCCCAAAACACGTGGGCCTGGGGTCCATTCAGCGCTTCTGGTGCAGACTGACAATCGTTCAACGACTGATCTTACCCTGCAGCATTCGGAATGATAGGGTACAGGCAGCATGCGGCAAAGCCGTATAGTTATCCTAACCAAAACACCGCCTTGTCTATGGACGAAAAGTGTCACTTGGAGATGCAGATCGACACTTTGGCGTAAAGACTGCGCCTGGAGGAATGTCTGATGCCAGAACCAGGTGCTTGTGTTGTGGACGGTGAGATGAGCAGAAACTCCTACCAGACTACAGGATGGTTCGGTTGACGCAAGGCGACGTCCCAACACAGGTTGCTTGCTTCAGAGATCACCCGCAAAGCTGAGAAAAGAAATAGATCCCTCCATTTGACATGTGACTCATTTGGTGCGTGCGACAACCCGGCCCAACAAGTCGCCAAAACATGTTGCAGGTCAGAGATGCACGTGATGCGTGTCTGGCCGGATCGTTTGGCCCTTGGGTCGCTCAAACTTGTCCAAGCGGTTCGAGCAGACATTTGTGGTCACGTCAGGTCTGGTGTCACCTTGAAGATGTGGATTGACCGCCGAATCGGCGGTGAGATTGCGGCATGGCGCAAGAATGGAAGGCATCCTGGGCGGTGTTCCGAATTGAAGGGGCATGCTGGAAGCCCTTCTTGCCAGGGGTGATGTGCTCATCGGTCGGCAGCTCAGGAAATTAAAGCCCACAGGCCGGTCGGGGTGGATCTTCTGGCAGGTCTGCGGGAAGTCTGGGGTGACGAGGCTACCGTACTCGCCTCAGTGAGTCGAGGGCACGGCAAGCTATGTCTTGACTGAGCTTCGCAAGGCTGCCAACCGTGAAGAGGCTGGGATGCTGCGGTCGATTCCTGTCCCACTTGCCGTCCACGCCAAAATCACAGAGGTGCTTTATGACTCGACCGCAGTTCGTGGCTCATTGCAATATCGGAATTTCATTGAGACTATGCTCCGAGCAGCCCGATGTACCCATTTTACAGCTGGTAAATGGGCTTAGCTAGCACTGTGCACAAGAAATCAAGCCTTCACACCGCGGCGTTTTCAGCCATGTCGGACGAGTATCGCTTTCAGGTCATCAATCCTGTAATCGCAAAGGACAGATTTCGAGGGAATGATTGGGATTACATTACAGCGGTCTTTGTCGCAGGGCTTGACTCGTGACCAGGATGACATCGGCAGGGCCAAGCACAGCTGTTCCCCGCAGCATTTCAGGATGTGTCATCTCAATGTCGCAGCAAATCAGCTAAATCTTGCGGCTCTTGCAAGCTCGAGACGCGCCTCTTGTGGCACAGGCTACACCTTGCCTCCGGACAATCACGCCTACGGGCGCGCCTGCCCTCGGGACCCACAAGGCTCCGCATGAGTTTGCGAGGGCTCGTGGTGATGATCCCCAGCGTGGAGGTGCCAGGGAGGTGCTGAGCGCATGGGTGCCTCATCATCCAACGGCGGCCCCGCAAGACCTGGCGCAGGTGGCCCGAGAGGTCTGCGCAGTGAGATTTTTTTCCAACCTTGCTTCATCTGCAGGATTTCCGGGCAATTAACAAGAGTGCCGCAAAGAAGGGTGTCCGGCATCTGGGTGGTATTTCCAAGGTTTTCTTTTTATCATCTAACCGAAGCCACTGTCAGTTTTCCTGCGCACACTACTGTACGTGCGAAGCAAAGGACTGTGAAGCAGATGACTGCGTTTCGCAAAGCTGTCGACATCAGGCGGGGCACCGTGGGTTCGTCGATCCGTGTTTCGGCCCAGCTGCTAGGCTGCACCCGCGGGCCGTTGAAGCTTGTGGTCGACGGGTGCGAGATGCTGTGGACACCAGCGTGGCTCAGCGGCAGCAGTGCGGCAGCTTTCAGCCTGGTTCGTTTGCAATGCCTCGATGTGAGAGGCTACTTATGGGCGGGCCAACCTTCCGTCAACACCGATGCAAGATGTGCCAGGCTCCAAGCAATCCAGGTGTGGGTGCTGTGAGCAAAGTCCAAGACTCCAAGCGCAGGAGAGGGCTACACAATGCACGAGCCACTTTCTAGAAGTTGCTCAGGCTGAAAGGCGCCTTTGCCTCCGAGTTTCAATCGGAGCTTAGCGCACGCTACGACGCCTATGCCGAAATCAATGCAGCTTCGCTGCATTTGGCACGTATCTCCCGTGACCGTTTCAGCTGGACTGCACCAACAAGGCTTTAGATGCTCCAAACGGGAAGCATCGGATACGCACCACGAAGGCCATCCTAGGGCAGCTGTCGGGCAACATGGAAGGAGACCCACTATCCATATTATCTAAGCTTGGTTCTAGACAGTCTTTGAGTCTTTTTCTCTCCTATTCTCTTCAATCCTTTCTCGGGAGATCGCCACCTTGAATTATTGAAGTTGAGCACTTGATGGCTTGTCAGCCCGTGGAGTAAAACCGAGTAGTTCAAGTAGACAATTGCTGTCCACATCACTGTGGTGCGAAGCTACTGGCCCTTGACTGCATTGCTGGCGAAGACAGTTTTCCGGCGGACGGTATGGTTCATGCACAGGCACCCACCCGCACAGACGCAAGCAACGTCATTGAAAGCTGTTTGCGTGTAACATTCCAGGGCGGCTGGGATGAGCGCATCTGTCAAGCTAAGCGGCATTCGCCGAACTCCCCACTGCCAGGCGCAGAGTCTTCGTGTTCACAGCGCCCGTCAGAAGACGGTGGATCCCAAGCCTTTGCGGCCGGTGAGGGACCCCTTCAAGCGCGAATCTGAGTTGAAAGATCCTTGAGAGAAGGGTTCATCTCTGGCAACCGGCAAGGCTCGTCTCCAACCGCACACAGCTGCAGCCTCTCACTGCTCGGGAGGCGCGTAGGGGTTGCTTCTCGAGCCCCGCAGGGGGGGGGGGGTGGTGGAGACCCTGCGCGCAGGCGCGACGTGGCTCCGAGCTTGCGGAGCAGCTCGAGGCTGAGCCTGCCGAGCTGGGCCCGGTGGGTCCTTGAAGCGGAGCCGCGCCGCTCCGCCGGCTTCGCCGCGAAGAGTTCCTTCCGTTCCTTCGCCAAAGGCGGGGTTCGGATTGAGACTGCAGGCAGCAGGATTTGTATCGAAGGAGCCGTTTGCAGGCACCGGAGTCTTTGAGTGTCGGGGTTGTACACGCAGGTCTGAGGTGGCATCTGACAACGGATTGCCCATTTCCAGATCATGCAATAGAACAGCTACCGTTTTGGAAGGGAGAGGCTGAAGAAGGCGCTATCCCCTCCCATGTCGAGTTCGAGCAAGCATGCGCGGAATCAGACCATGAGCAGTTTATTTCACCACTGGATACCATGGGTGTGCTCCGCATGCTCGCGCTTCTCTGCGCATTCTTTTGAGTCGGAAGTGCAGAGTGCAAAAGTCTTAAGCCGCAGTGTCGGCGGGCCACGCGGCCACACCTGTCTGTCGCCGTTTCTGAGCAGGTCCAACAGGCGAAGGGCGAGTCCGACAAGGCTTCGGCGGTCTCGGCACAAAAAGTGTCAAAGCGACACCATCCGAATTGGAGGCAAAGCGGCGGAAGATGGACGATGCTCCTGGCCAAGGTCTGTGGCTGAAGAGTCTTTCGTTCTGGATTCTGAAAGCCCACATTCATCCCAGAGTCGTAGAGCTTGAAGTGCCACAAAGGCCGAGATCGAAGAGGTGTCGCAAAGGCCAGAGACTATTATTCGCTTACTTTGTAATATTGCACACCCGCGCAGAGCCTATCTTGTCCAGGGTCGGGGGAGATGATACGCCGCAGCTTCGGTCTCAGGTTTCACGTTGTCTCCTCTTGAGCTGCTGAGTTGCTGCACAGAGAGCAGAGCGAGTGCGGAGTGTAGAAACTTGAGCATGCATGCAGAGCTGCGTATCCTGAAAGCACGCCTCGGCATAGCGACGAGGCGGCAGTAAGCGACCGAGAGAGGTTCGGTGAAGGCTAGTGCAAGACTTTGTGGGCCGGGCACAGCCTGTCCCTCGTACGTCGTACGTTCTGTTTTCTGTTTAGAACCTGGAACCTTTTAGGACATATGTTGCGGATGGAAGGGGGAGGCCTTCGGTTGAAGGCACATGCAAGCGAAAGAGGCGATCTTTGAACCTCAATGAGCAACGCTGGATCGACAGACGTGGAGGGACGTCTAACGAGGAAACGTGTTCGCCCTCGGAGCAGCCCTCCCCAGATTGGTCTTGCACAACTCTGGGTGGAATGGGTGGAGTGGTGAGATTGGAACATATGAATATATCGGAACCTCGCAGCAGTAGACCTTTTGTCAGTGGATGTTGTTCCTGCAGCAATGCATGCTAGTTTATCAGCAAAGGTAGAAAGGGGTTTCCTTATGGAAAGTGCATATTAAAATTGTATTGCGGCCTGTTGTCCCTCAAGCACAGCCGTCGTCTGTTCCCGGTGCGACTTTTTGGCGATGTCGCGAAGCCGGTTTCTCTTCTTGGGCACAGGAAATGCACCATCCAAGTTCTTCGAATCGGCCCTCTGCCGGCTGCAGCCTGTGTACAACTTCCACGTGGACGTTTTGCAAAGCAGTGCTGCGTATTCGGCATTGCAAGCGAAACACGGCTACGATGGACTCCTTCTCTACAACTCGAAGGACGGGGCCAGCATCCTCAAGGACCAGCTCGCATCCGAGCGTTTGAGATGGGTGCATTGTTTCACTGCAGGGGTAGATGCCTACTTGCGCGATGCCACGATCAGAAAATCCCAGATTCCCATCACCAATGTAAAGTCGGCTTACAGCGAGCATCTCGCGCAGTTCGTTGTTTTTGCAGTCCTATTCTTCGCCAAAAAGGCAATGCACTTCCGCAGTTCGCAGCGTGCCAAGCTTTGGGCTCCTACATTTGTGGATGATGTGAAAGAGCAGTCGATTTTGATCGTGGGCTATGGTGACATTGGCACCGCGTGTGCGAAGAAGCTGCATGGCTTGGGCATGACAGTAACGGGAGTTAAGTCACGGCCCGAATCTTCCAGCGATGACAGCAAAGCATGCGCACAAATTTGCGAGGTTGGTCAACTTGAATCTTTGTTGCCCACGGCTGACTATGTACTGAACCTGTTGCCACTAACCCCGGCTACCCAAGACTTCTTTGATGCCAAGCTGTTCGGCCTGATGAAATCCAGTGCTGTCTACATGAACTTCGGCCGAGGGCAGACCAACAATGAGGCTGACTTGTTGGCGTCGCTGAAGGCGGGACAAATTGCTGGTGCGGTCATGGATGTTTTCCAGCAGGAGCCGCTTCCGGCAGACAGCGAGTTCTACTCGCTTGAGAATGTTTTTCTCACGCCGCACTCGGCAGATGACACAGCAAACACCCATGACAACGCGGTGCGAGTCTTCGAGCAGGTCTTGCAAAGCTATCTTGCAAGCAAGGAGTCAGGCAAGGCTCTCCTAAATGTAGTGGACAAAGAGCGCGGCTACTAGGAGCAGCGCGGCTATTGACAACGTGGCAGTGAGAGCAGCACATAGCGAGACCAAAAAGCTCCGTCAGGTTGGACAGGCTTGCAGGGATGGCATCTTGCTCCTTGCTCGCATGACGTTTCCTGGCTGGTAAGGTCCCCAAGAGCGCAAGCCATGATCGCGCGCCGGGGCGCCGGTTTGCCGGAGCCTTGCACCTGCGTCTCTGGTTGCAGTCTGATGCATGTCAGGTGGACTTGACCACGCAATAGTGTCTGCTCAAGTGGCTCCCCAAAGGGAAGGGATGCCTCTTTAGCTGCCAGCGCACACCGTCCGAGATGATGTGTTCTGCCAAATCCATTCTCTACGCACTCTTCTTGCTGCTGGCCTTTCTTCCTTCGAGAGCGATTCGGGATACCTTGGGAGTGTCTGTCGACACCGTTCACGCCTTCTATTCTGCAGACGAGCCGTCGATTGATGGACTTTGTGCCTCCATCCACTCACTGTTGGTATCAAGCTCTCAGCCGCAGCGTCTCGTCGTGGATGTGGCAGTGAAGGCCGCATCTATTCCTATCTTTCAGGCTCGTTTTGGCATGGACGGCTCGCTATCAGCGGCGACCACAAAAGGAGCCACCATCCAACTTCACGCGCTGAACGAGGCGAAGATGAACGAGATCTTCAAGTACCAAATGAACTACTATCATGAGCGGCCCGGACTGGACAAGTCAATCGAGAAGTATGCTCGCTTGTACATTGACACTTTGCTTCCCGATTCGATTGTGGTCTATCTTGACACGGATGTGGTGATACAGTCGGATGTCTTGGTTTTGGCAGATCGGTTGGCCGCAAGTGGAAAAACAATGGCTTTCGTGGTCCGGGACTTAGCATACTGCCGTAGCCATGCTGCAAGTATTTTTGCATTGCCCCCTCCCCACCCAGTTGCTGCACTGCAGTGCAGAGTTGCTGTTGAGGAGCGGGTGCCACGTGCATCTTTAGGAGACTACGTGCATGCGGACAACTTGACCGATTCCGCACTGGCCAAGCTCGGCATCTCCCGCACAGCCCTTGTTGCAGCAGAGAACGCAACGGAGTACAATGCTGGAGTCTTGGTTTTCAACACCAGGCGCTGGCAAAGCTTGGGATATTTGGACAAGGTGAAGCATTGGCTCCACATCAACTATGAGCTGCATGGGAAGCTGTTTCGGGGGAATGATCAAACTCTACTCATGCTCAGTTTTGAAGTTTGGCGAAAGCCAGGAGACTTTATAGTGGTGGAAAGGGAGTGGAATGTGGAGGTGCACCACCAGCTCACCATCGACAGAGACTTCTTGGCACATGCGGCCAAGATTCTTCATTTCAACGGTGTGCGGAAGCCGTGGCTTCCCAGTGAGGCGGAGGATCCCTTGGCCAAGGAGCTCTTCCGACCCCACTTGCAGAAGTTCCCATCGCTACTCGTAAAGGGAGCTGCTAGAAGCCAGTTGCCGTTGCAGCCGATGCTGGCTGCTCTTGTAGCTCTTCTTTGTGTCCTTCTGCTTCTCGCGCTCTCCAAGTTCTCGCCCATTTGGAACAGCATGATGCCGCCCGCGGAGTCCGCCTTGCACGTCAGCTTCTCAGTATGCCGATTGTCAGGCACAGTCAAGACGACATCAGGACTACAGCAGCGTCACTTCATCTTCAACAGTTCTTCAACAACAATAATAACGGAAAGCTGGAAGTACTTGCTCACCAAACCCTGGGGCTGCCAACGGCTCGTCTGTCGTAGCTCTCTTCGCGATATGTGTCGTCCGTGTGGGAATGCATCAGACTTTCTCTAAAAATATGGGCTCTTAATGTCAGGACTAGGGCTGTTTCGGGATTGGATGTTCAAAGTGTTTGGCAGTTGCTCTGCAGAGGTTAACTTGATGGTCTGCTTCCAGGGATTCATGAACTACAGCTCTGTGCATCCCAGCTGCATTTTTATCATGGAGTGTGGGAGGGATCACTCTTCCGTTTGTCTGTGAAGCTTTGCATGTGGCAAACCTGAGGGTGCTCTGCGCGTACCCGTTGTGTCTGTCGCTGAATTTGTCGAATGCCGCTTCAATGTCTGGCCTCCTGATTGGTGTATTCATGGAAGCCAGTGCTGTGGGCATGGGCGTGAGTTGGAAGATCCTGAACGTCTACCCGGACTTGTGGCGCAGGCACATCCAGAGCTACCTGGTGGCCGGCCTCTCCTGTCAGTTCTTCGGTGCTCTGGCCTTCTGCAAGGTAGCCATGGCCGTGAAGTATGGCCAAAGTGACAGCACCCTGATTATGACCTTGTTGGCGGCAAGGATCTGTCAAGGCTTTGGTCATGGACTGAACGATCAGTTCATGAAGTGCTGCATCGTCAAGCTTGCAGCGACACATGATCGACCGCGGCACTCACTCAAGAAGTTTGTTGCCAACACGCTAGGGATTGGCTGCGGACCCATTGTCATTGCTTTGGCATATTTCTTCTTCCACGACGATGCGGTGGATGCAGGGTTGACAAACGGAGCTCAGATAAGCATGCTGACTGCGCAGTGGCAGCTAACGATGACCATCACCGTTCTCATCGGCGCCATCCTCCTGTATCCGTCCTTGGAGGACCGACTCCAGAGTGAGTTGCCAGAGTTTCCACAGAGTCTGAGTCATCGTGTCGCAGGAGGTGTCCGACTTTGGTAAGGCAAATACCCTTGTCGGAGGTCATCAGACGGCAGTGCTTCTTGCGAGCGGCTTGGCCTCAAAAAGCATGTCTCCAAACTCCCGGATGTGTGATCTAGGGTGTCGCCTGCACTTCTCAGCCTCGAGGCATTTTCATGGACGCATTGCGCGGGTTCATCACCTCGGGAGTGGAAGCTGCATCCTGTTTGCTTCTACAGGATCACTTCGCGTGGCGTCAGGATAGCATTGGCTTTTGCATCGGGCTGACATTCTGCTTGGTGGTCCCTGGATACATGCTGCATAGGCAGTACCAGGCACGCTACAGCGACATCGCATGGATTAGGATCTACACCGGCATTGCCATGCTCGCCACCGCTCTGCTAGGCCGGTCGGGCAAAAGAGTTGCACGCCTTTGAACTGTAACAAATGCAGAGACGTGTAGAAGATGTGGTCGTTCTTGTCACTTGTCCAGGCACTGCGAAGAAGCCGCTGGGCATCCTCGCGGCGGACAGCATCATATTTCCATCGATTTACTTGGCGGGTGCTTTGAACATGGGCATTCTGAATACCAGTGTCTTTCCGGATGGCTCGCTGCTCGATGCCAACAACGTCATGCTCATTAATGGTATAATCTCCAACGGTATCGGCCGTTTTGCGGGGCCCATCTTTTCACGGTCACTTATAGCGCACCTTGGACAGAAAGCATACGCGTCATGCCAAGCTCTTGCCATTGGCAGCATTCTAGCCGCTTCTGGCATGTTACGTGCACCAATGCACTAAGTGGACCCGTAGTGAGCGCTCTCGACGATCGAACGCGCTTGGACAAGAGCCGCTGCAAAATATCGCGGCTGCCCGTGGTGAAGTGAAGATGCCATTCCATCATCTGCCTAGGAGAGAAGCCACGCTTCAGAGGGATCGTCTGTCTTGTAAGTTATTTACACCACAACGAAAGCCCCTCACATGCCATCGCCGTGCCGAAGACTCACCGGTAAGCTTGGCCGGTGAGGTCGCCCCGCCAAGAGCTCCGCTTCGCTCGCTGCTTCTTTGCTGCACTCTTGCCTTCGCGGACTGTTTTCAGCTGTTTCCCCCACCACATCGACGCACGCTCGTCTGGAAGTTGTGGGCAGTGCCACTTTTGATCAGACAGGCCCGCCTGGACTTCTTGAGCCTCGCCCCATTTCGCTTTCGCGGTGAAGGATGTGATTTCCGCAATCATCATCCAAAAAGCTGAAGCCCATCCGCTGTGCAGTGCCTTTTTGTTTGGGCGCGTTCTTCTGCTAGCCAGCCGTCTGATGTGAGCGAAGAACGTCTACACATGGCGTCTGCTTTCGGCTCAAGTTTTTTCCAGCTGAGTCGTGTCAGCAGGTTGTGCCAGGGCAGTTCAAGAACTTCGACAAACAGACAACAAGGAGCTTTTGGAAGGCTCTCCAGCTCTGCTGGTGAATATCTGCAGTCCCTTTTCAACTTTTCCAGTCGTCATCAAGCAAGGCAACCACATCTAAGACATATTGGAGACGTCTTCAAAAAGAGTTGCCTCATGAAAGCTTTGGCGCTGTCGACATGGCGGGGCTGATTTGCGTGAGTTTGGGAGGGTTGTTTCGGAAAGGAGGTGGACGCGTGAGTTGTGACAAAGATCGGAACCACCAGGCAACCTTCAGCTCGATGCGCTTCGCTCAGAATTCAGCCTTCCCCTCAGATGTTCAGACATTCGGATTAGGCTTCTGGCTGGATCTTTCTTGCAACGAGTGGCACGATTCAGGTGCAAGGCTTAGCCGGCGTGGCCGGGAGGCGTGATGCACCTCCAAGCCTTAGGGAGCCTCTTCCAAGAGCCTATCGCCCCCGAGCTGATCTGCGTGAGTCCCGAGCCCTCGTGGCTTCCAAGCTTATTCGCAAAGCTCCGAGCCGGGCAGTATTCCACGTTAGACTTTACTGGGTATGACAGTGACAATTGACGTAGTAGCAGGACTGGACCGCACGGCGGAGATGTTTGTACAGCTAAGCACCACATAAGTGCAGGGATCCTCGTCCACATGATGGACTCCCACGAGAATCCGGTGTCTTTAGATGTGCCAGATGTGCCAGGAACTCCATCCACAGTGCCTGCTAGCATGGGATGTGGACCCACGCAGATGATCCCCTTAACACAAGACGCAGAGCCGGATGATGAGAGTGATGGTAGCGGGCCAAGTGCACCTCGAACACCGGCACACTCGCAAAGACCAAAGCAGATCGCTGCAGAAATGCGGATGTCTGGCAACGTTCTGCGGACGAGACAGCGTGCCGCTTTGGTGGAGCAGCACCGCCCGAAGCCCGGCACGGACTTTGGTAACCCCAACCTGGAGCCAGAAGCATGTCGGGTGGTCCCTTCCGAGCTTCGCAGAGCAGACGGCTCACATCTTCTTACTGCTCTACAGCCTCTGCATCCTGTGCTTATTACCGGGCGAGAGCACCACAATGAGCTGGATTTTGAGGCCTTTGGTGAAAAGAGTCACGGCAGAATTCAAGTTCTCTTTTGACGAGTGATAGCGAAAATTTTCACACACACTTTAAATTTGGAAAACGTGGCCGTGCTTGACACTGCGATGACACAAACACCTGTGCCAGTGCGTGTGATGTGGGAACCACATCGCCCAAACCCCACACCGCAGCTGTCATTTCGCCTCCAACAGACCCCGCATGACAACAGTCATGTCGCAGTACCCAGACCCGACATCGCAGCAGTCATGTCGTCTCCCAAAGGCCCCACATCGCAGCAGTCATCTCGCAGTACCCAAACGCCCGGATAAGATATACTGATATACCACACTTTACGATGGAGTAGTCAGATCAGCCCGGACAGGCTGGCCACCGGCAGGACCGGCCTCTGGAATTTCCTTCTAAAGTGGCAAAACATGAAGCCAGCAGTTCGGCGTCTGAAGCCCGAACCTTTCTTGGCCGACTGCTCATAGAGATTTCGGATCTACCTAGATGCTGAAAGGACCCTTCTCGAATGAAACCGAGACACTCCGCCACCTTCTAAGAATCTAAGGGCGAGGCACAGCCACCCGTACAGAACTCGGGCTGAAGACTCCGGCGAGAAGACATGGAGCAACTAAAACTGTTTTTTGCAACTGCATTGAGCGACTATACAAGTACTTGTAGGATGCAGCAGCCACCCTGGACACGAAGTGTGGTGCAAACGTTTAGACTTGTGTTCAGAGTTCAGAAAGCCCGCCGTGGCACGGAGGTCGGGCGATGGCAACATTCGTAGTCTGCCTGTCGCCTTGCACGCGGGGCCCGTGGACGACATCCAGAGCCCGCCACGGCAGAAGTTGCCCTCGCAAAGTCCGAGGTGCGGACTTGCGGAGTTGCGAGCCTTGAAGAAGTCAGTGTTGAGCCGCGGTCAGGGAGCCAGCGCCTCCGATGCTGGCAGAAAAACTGACAAGAGCTTGTCAGGCCTTTCGCTGAAAAGAACCATCCTGCTTTACAGTCCATGCGGTGCAGGCACGGTCATCTTTGCCATCGCAACGGCAGCACTTGGAACCAGGGCAGAGACCAAGCGAATCCAGTGAGGTCAGGCAACCTCCAATCTGCCATCCCAGCCCGATGCAGCCAATCCTGAGCCGTCAGGGGCAAGCTCAGACGACTCGGGCAGAGCATTCGCAACAGGCTTCGCAGAGTTCTTGCCAACCCTTCATTGATTCGGCAAGCGGGACAATGGACGACATCCAAAGCCCGCCACGGCAGAAGTTGCCGGCATCCACCTCGCAAAGTCCGAGGTGTGGGTTTGAGTGTTTTGAGAAGAGAAGTTTCTGAGATGCTCGGGCAGGCAGCCAGGGCCCCCACCACTGGCAGAGACACTGATGAGAGCTTGTCAGGCCGTCCCTTTGCATGTAGGTGTCGGAGTGAACTGCAACTGACGACCATGTGCAGGCGCGAGCCAATCTGCCGCAGCCTCATCTGAGTCGTATTCGCGAGTGGTGTCGAATCCCACCCATCTGGCCTCTCCTAAGTTCAACGCAGCCGGGAGTCAGGCGCCTGTGTCTTTGGAGCTTTGGGAGATCCAAGATGCGAGTTACCAAAAGAGTGCGAGGAGGAGGAACCAAGTCCCGGAGCTGGCCACGAGCTGGAAGAGCTTTCAGGCGAGAGCGACGAGATGCGACGAGAGCGACGAGAGCGGAGAGGAGACGTGTCAATGTGCGTCTGTGCGGATCAGCGCGCTCTGAAGGCGCAGCCCAGGGCAACCGGGCCGGTGCGCATCGACTGCGACCGGAGCGACCGGGCCGCGTCCCCACGAGACGAATCGCTGGGGTCCGAGCTCAATCCGTCGAGGCATGCTGGCGGGTTGCGCTTTCGTGAAGCACAGATTCCGCATCTTCGCCCCTGAAGCCTCGTGAATGTAGGCTGCCCCAGCGGGACACGTCCTGGACTCCTCATGCCCTCAGCCGCTGCAAGCAAATGCAGCTGGGCCACACTCCTGAGTAAAGAGAATGTAAGGAGGGCTTCAACGTGAAGCATCTCCGCTGTGTTCTCCGCATGATAGTGGTGCAGTGACCGTAGCGAAGCTGAATTGCAGAGCCAAGGAGTTCTTCGCGATCCACATCCGGCAGCCAGGGTCGGGCAGCTGATGCAAAGTGGATCTGTCGAGTGTTCTCGGGTCGCCACACCGAATCGCTCTGAGCAGGGCAGGTGGCTTCCGTGGCCACTCCGAGTGGCGCAGGCTTACGCAGGTGTCCATGACTTGAAGACGGCTTTGCAACAGGGCTGACCGCAAATCACTGTCTCCGGAGGATGGACCGTGCGGACGAATCGACAGCATCGCCTGGCAGGCACTATGGCTCGCTACGGTCAATTAGGGTTGGGATGTGAAATAACACAGTGCCCCATCATTAAGTCTTCGCATCGTTTCCCTAAAGCGGTGTTTCTCGTTAAAAAGTCCATGCTTAGAGGGACCGTGGGCTCCTTAGCTACTAAAGCTAGAGAGCAGTAGCCAACGTCATATTTGTGGATCATAGAGCCATCCTGTTATCGATCTCCTATTCAGGTGGTCCATGGCCGAAAATCGGGTGTGGTAGCAGAGTGTTAAAACGATAACAGAACAATGACGAAACAATATTATTTGGTCAAGAACATCTGAGTCGAGGTCCATTCTGTGTTTCCGCATGATCAGTCTGTTCTAGGCTCGGTAGTAGGCTGTAGCAATGTCGGTGCCCAACGAAGCGCTTGCGCGAGTATCACTGCTACCGTCGTGCTATCGTAAGTCTGCCCCCACACCAACTACATCCTCGAACCTAAAACAGCTACCGTGTCTTGAAACTCACTGCTCCAATCACCCCCGTTCTGTTAACTGCTCCATCTCCTTCTGATCACATATCTTGATCGGACACGATGCTGAACATGCAGTGCGTCACCTGTATAAAGAGTTCCTAAGGATGTAGTAACATCACGATTAATCTATAGATTGATAAAACGAAGACAAGAAGTAAAAACCGAGACCCACTTCCTGGATTTATTTCACAATCTCCAAGACCCGACTTGAGATAGTTCCGCTCGCAGCTTGGGAAATGCCCTCGGGAAGACCGGCAGTGGCCCTTTTCCA